TTGGATGAACACATGGGCCTATAACTTGAAGATCACTTATGTAAGAGTTTATGAATCCGTGTGTGGCCTGCGGTGACTTGAAGATGCCCTCATACAAAGCTTTCCTCCTTGCACCCCATATTGCCCATAGTGAAACCGAAAACCTGATAAACTCATCGGTTTTTAGAGCTCTCAACAAAGCAAATAACCATAACTTTGGGCACTCTTGATGGTGGGAGCTCAATTGGTCCAGTATCTCCTCCGATGATAACACCCAAGTGCATCTCGCCATTGGACAGTTGAGCAGCGCGTGTCTCCAAGAATCAGTCGTCCCACACAAGCCACATACCTTCGTCGTTGACATATTCCTCCTGTGTAAAACGTCTCCCGACGGTATCGAGTTACGAGCGAGGCGCCACAAAAAGACCTTTATCTTGCTCGGCACTGCAACCTTCCAGATTGCCTTCCATTCTTTGCTTTGTCCCTCACTGGTTGATGTTGTTTCTGCCTCATCCAGCCATCCTTCCCTATCATGTTTTGTTCGAACTAACATTCGGTATGCAGACCCGACCGAAAAGTTACCCTGAGGTTCTTCCCCCCAGGACCAGAAATCATCAACGCGTCTTGTATCTGTATGTCTATATATCTGTATCTAGTCCATATTGAAATCCTCTAAAAAAGGCTTATATGTAGAAACAGGGAAAGTAGATAGCTCGGGCTGGTTACGCTCCGAAATCCTATCTAACGGCTGGGTGCATCCCTCCAAAACGAACAAGGTAGAGGCTGGTGCGACGGGAAGGAAGGATCGGACGTATGTCCGGCAAAAATTGGACGGGATACAAAAATTACGCGGGATAAACGCCGGATTCTTTTCAGAAACCAAACCGGACAACAATACGTATGTGGTTCTTATTCGTTCAAAGGCCCAACAAAACCACGACCGGCCTGGACTAACGTACGTACGAGTACGTACTATATGAGACGCCGGTGATCTGCCTTTTGCCGGCGAGACAAGTTTCCCAAGACCCGGAGTAGATTTGTCGACATGTCGTCCGCCGGCGATCCATCAATGTCCGCCTCCACCATCGTCGCGGACACGGCGAGCGGCTGCCACATACTAAAAATCGATGGTTACTCGCACACCAAGGGGACTCCCACCGGGGAGGCCATCAAATCCGGCAAGTTCACCGTGGGCGGCCATCGCTGGTTCATCAATTATTACCCCAACGGCATCAACTCCGACGCCGCGGATCACGTATCCTTTTACCTCCTACTCGACGAAGTCAAGGTGCAGCTCTGTGTTAATTTCGCCAGCCTCCTTACTAGGAAACGGCCGATCACACCGGCCGATCCTGTGTGGAGTTTCACACCAGGAAACAATTGGGGGTATACAAAGTTCGTCAAGAGGGAAGACCTGGAGAGATCAGAGCACCTGACCAACGACGCTTTCACAGTCAGGTGTGACGTGGTCGTCATCAACGAGATCCGCACCGAGGACGCACCCACCGTCCGCAACCCGTTTGTCACCGCCGTGCCACAATCCAACCTGATCCAGCACCTTGCCGACTTACTCAGGAGCGAGAAGGGCGCCGATGTGGTGTTTGAGGTCGGCGGCGACACTTTCTCCGCGCATCGGTGCGTTCTCGCCGCCCGGTCACCGGTCTTCAATGCAGAGCTCTTCGGTGCAATGAAGAAGGGTGGCAGCGGCAGCATCGTGCGTGTTGCCGACATGGAGGCGCGGGTGTTCAAGGCGCTGCTCTCTTTCGTGTACACCGACTCCTTGCCGGAGACAGAGGATGAAGAGGACCAAGGCACCATGTTCCAGCATGTACTTGTCGCGGCTGACAGGTACGACTTTGGGCGGCTCAAGCTGATTTGCGAGGAAAAGCTGTGCGCGCATATTGATGTGTTCACGGCGGCGACCATTCTAGCGATCGCGGAGCAGCACCGCTGCCATGGGCTGAAGAAATCTTGCATTGAGTTCCTCAGCACCCCCGCACATATGCTGGCAGCTGATCAGGATGTGCGTGGCGCCTGTCAAGACCTCCCTCGCCAGTCGTAATGGGACCAAGCGGGCTCGGGTTGATGCACCAGGTGAATTGGTGATGCATGGTAGCTAGCTAGTTATGCCTACTAATTTCATCTTTCTCTAGATTTAATCATGAGGAAGTAAGGTCTGATGATTCACCACAATTTTAATTGTGAGTTTCGAATTAATTAGTAAGAATTACGGGGTGCTTGTTCCAGTAAAACTGCTACTTTGTTTTGTTCCCAAAAAATACATTGGTGCTACCAGATCTTTTCGTCGGTCGTCACATCCTAGCCCAGGATCAGTCGTCTGCTTAACCCAGCCGTACGATTCGTTTCTTTCCCTCAGTCCTTGAGATCAACCTTAGATTGGATTTGGCCAAAAAAAGTAGAACTTTGGGTATTGAGGAAAGAGATCTTCAGAGGAAGATCAAAACAAAGAATGTGGCCCTTGCTATTCTAGAGAGAGCAAGAAAGAGACAAAGCTCTATGGCTACTTTGCTCAAAAAGGGTGGCGCCAACACTCCTTTCTTCCACCATCATGTTAATCATAGACGAAGGAAAAAAAATTACTCATTGGCTCAAACATAACAATGGATGGGCCAGAAGACATGACGGTAAGAAGACGATCATACAAGAATACATTGGCAAAGCCATCAAAAGTGGAGCGCCCCGTGCTAAGAACCTCAACTAGAACTTTACCCACTTTGGCTCGCGACCTTGCGGACTTATGAATGCCTTTCACGGTGGAGGTCAGTGAGGCCATATTTTTCCTCCCAAGTGACAAAGCCCCAGGCCCTAATGGATTTACTAGAGCCTGACATTGTGCCTGACTTCCTGAACGTTGTCGCGCTTGATTTGATCCACCTCTTAAACATTGAGTCGGCCAACACGGACGTGAGAGATGCACATGTGCCTGGTGCTGATCTATGATAGTTTGGGCCGCCTTTGCCTGAAAATTTGGTGTTGGAGCATTTCGGAAGATCGTGGAGCCTACGCAGCCGTTCTCATGCATGACTGATCCTCCTTTACTTGATGCCTCCTACTCCCAAATGCCTCTAGATTCAAAATTTATTTTCTTCTTTTCTCAACTCCTAACCAGGCCACTATCTAGCTCCTTCGTAATTCCTACCTACATATTTTCCGTGTGTCTGGACTAGCAGAACGAGGCTAGTTCTTTGGCGAATCTGTTGGGACATGTCTTTGGAGAAATGTATGGTAATACCACTCGTCTATATGGAGCTCTGGTTGTTCCATTGTTTTACTACTATTTATTTATAAGAATCATATTGCTTTCTTACCTTCTTTGCCATGTGCATGGGCGCTGTGCACTAGAGTGGTTGGACTTGAGTCATTGCTTTACTGCCATTTATGAAAATTACCGTCCTGGCTGAGCAGAGATCACATGAAGGTCTTAAATACCTAGAGAAGCAGGACAGGTCCATGTCGATGTACTTTGTCGCAGTGGTTGTTGAAGTTGTGTTGCCCACCTTTGAAGTTTATGTCGCATTAATTAGGACAGCTTAACACTTACATGTAGGTGGTTCTCTGATGAAGCTCGTAAGCTATGTTTTGGCAATGGTACAATATATTTGGGTGCTAGTTATGAGCTGATGTAATCAGTTTATTGAGCAATATTATATCCATTGCATATGAACACCAAGTCTCGCCATTCTCAGCTTGACTATTAGCAGGTTCTTGTAGTACAACATCCATTGTTTATTTTTATGTAGCAGAAAACCTGCCACGGCGCTGATTGACCACACCATGTGGGAGCAATGGGATCGACCGAAATTAGCAGGTTCTTGACTGTAATTCTATAAACTTGGAATAAAATCCCTATTTCCCAGAAAAAAGACTAGTGTTCCCTCCAGCCTTATCTCCTCCCAGAAAATCTCATCCACATGCTTCCCATCAACACGTCTTATTCTCGAACCTCCCTTCATTCCATACTACCATGCTCTCCGCCGTGCTGCCACAAACCACAGCTAAGAGCTTACCCATGACAAACCGACATTTAACGAGTTCAATTATGAATCTTCAAATATGTAGATTCAGTTTGATACAGACTAGGAACAGTTAATTAATCCATGCAAGCTTTGGCACGCGCAGCAAGACATAACTAGTACAAACGTAACTGAATTGTGATCACCATCTCAGACAGGCTCCATGCAACTCAATGAGACAACTAATCAGATAGAAAAAACAGGAGAAAAAGTTCTATGGGATAAAGATAGAACAAAGAAAATCAACGGTAGCTTCATCTTCCAGCTGGGAGAAACAGTACTAGCTAGTAACCCATCCCCCATCTGTTGACATAAATGTGAGGGGCTTCTGCTGCAGTATATCATTGTTGTTCTCACCATGTTGTTGCAAATAACATCACCAACTACTAGCAAAAGAATCCAATAGGAAAAAACACGGGGCGAGAAGATGTGGAACTTAGTGAATTACAACAATTACCAGTTGACTTTTAAAGAAGATGTGGTGGTTGCTTTATTTATAAAGCGGGGCGAGATCCTATTTTAAGAAAGAAGATCAGTTGTCTTTTAGAGAAGTTTCATTACGAATATCGACTGAACATGGGCCATTCAGTTCAATACAAAGTAGGAAGTCGGAACCGATTGACCAGCACGGTACACATAGCAGATAAGCACACCAAAGTAATTCAAAACCAAGATAATTAGGTCGCTGAATGAGCCCGTAGGAGGGAGCAAGGCATGATATCTTTGAGCGCAGACACCTGGGCACCACCAAGCCTTGTTACAGACATGATTAAAGTGTCATAATCATGTCAGAGAGGTGGAGAAATACGCAGTAATATGATGAACCAGATTGACAAAGGAGAAGAAAATTTCCATTGACACGAGACGTGCAAAGCTGTATCTCGATATTTCAGCTGCGACATCTCCATCTATTGTGACATATGTGGCTTGTGAGACACACATGTCACATTGTTGTCGTCAAGTTACTCCAGATAACATAATTGAGATACATTTATTCCCCGAAGACCAGGAAAAGTCCTCGCATCAGCAACAGCCATGTCGATCAGATAAGGAGTGGTAAGACTAACTCGAGCAGAAACTGGCAGAGGCGTGTTTGGCAACAACTACTAGAATCTACGCAAGCACACTGGATGGCATGCCAACACTCTGCTACAATTTCTACAAAAACGAAAACATAAATGAAAGACGATTCAGAGGCCGGACAAGCTGGAAGGGGCACCTTCTATCAGTGCAAACTTCTGCCTAGCACCAAGCCATATTTATTACAAGCATAATCAAACCATGATCATCATCTAAGAGAGGCAACTGAACAGAACACAACTCTGTGAGATAATGAACTGAATGTTCACCAAGGGCAGATTAAATTTGGTGACATAAGAAGCCTAGAAGTGTAGCTGGATCTAATCATCTTGCTGCTGTGAGAAGCGGCAGTCCATCTCCATTTCTTGTGACATGTATGTGGTAGACATCTCCACGCAGCATTCCTTTGTTGTTGTCCACACAAAGGTATCCCAATTAAATGAAGTGGGCATCCACTTCATTTCGTACAAACTAATATCATGGAAACAGTTCAATATTTCTCCAATAAATTGTCTTTTAACAAGCTTTACCTCGAATATTCGAACAGAGAACGTTCAGTTCAATACAGAGGAAGCACAGCAACAGAAATGAACAAGACAATCTGGATGCTGGAGAAGCTGGGAGGAAGAAGCGAAGCACCATCTATCAGTACAAACTTCTGCCCACCAACAAAGCCTTACTACTAACATGTTCGAAAGCGTAATCATCATCTCAGAGGTAGAACCCAACCCAGTGAGAGGATGAGTCGACAAAGGGAAAATGAAACTAGGTGGCACGAAAAGCGAAGACATGTATCTAGGTAGCTTCCAGCTGAAAGAAGCAGGAGTCCATCTCCATCTGCTGTGAAAATATACGTAGTACACGAAAGTGCTATTGTGAGCTCGAGCTCACAGGCACCCTTTGCTACAGTACAAACAAAAAAAATATTTAAAAAGTTCAAAAAAATATGAATTTTTTTGGCATCAAACATTGATATATTTTTCACATGCGTACAAATTTTCACGACAAAATGACATTCATGCAGGTCTCAGCAAAAAAAACAAAATCGATGCTCCAAAATGCTTCCAAAAACAGTTTTTTTGGAGCATGATTTTGTTTTTTTTGCTGACACCTCCACAAATGTCATTTCATCACGAAAATTGGCACGCGTGTAGAAAAAACATCAAAGTTTCTTGACAAAAAAGTTCAGATTTTTTTAAATTTTTTTACTATTTTTTCGAATTTTACTGTTCATCCGGGATCACTGGTGCCCGGGATCAATTCCTACACATCTTCATGCCTCATTTGGGAGCAGGGAGGGGCGGGAAAAGTAAATCCAGGGGAAGGAAGGCAAGCTGAGAGAAAGAGTGTGAGTCACTCACATGGAAAACAGTAAGGTAGGAGGAGGAAGCTTGACTTTGGGTGAAGCACTGCGCTACTGCACCCGCGTGCTCCAGTTTTATTAGCACCCTCTTATTTTGGGCTAATTTTTTACCATAGATTTATTTAACAAAATGTAAACTATATCTCACAAAAACTATATCATCGGAAACCTGTTTCGAGTACAATCCAGCAATGTACATTTTATAGCATTTTAGTTTATCTTTTGTTATTTAAATAGATGGTCTATATTTGACCTACGAGGGGGCTAATAAATCCAGAAGGAGAGAGTACTATTATATCTTTAATTAGTGAGCTGCCTTGTCTGGCTCACTAGCAAGTTAGTCATACTTGCTTCTGCTTACATGTTGCCTTCTGCACCTGCAGTATGTATGAAGATTAATATAACTAGATATATCCCCTAAAAAAACTAGTTATATACATGTCACAACCCGTGATGGGGTTAGATATCTTATATCTTATCTTATTTCTTATATCTTATCTTATCTTATATTTACTAATTGGAGGCACCTTTCAAGTACTCTCATTAATCCACATCATTAAAATTAATTACACCGTTGGATTGTAG